GAAATGAAGGGGGTGACTCCACTGCAGTATTACAATACATGAGCTTCAGATTTTGCTCTCCTTTCCCACGACCAGCTAAACTCAGATTACTCCTTTTCTTCTCCTTCACTTCATCTTAAAACACAGCTGGTTGTTTAATAGATACATTACTGAAAGAGAACTATTTGTTCTTAACCTTTTTTTTTTTTTTTTCAGAAATGTGGTTACTGATTTGTTGTATCTGTCCCTAGAACTCATTCTGTAGATACAGGGAATATTTTTTTGATGGGCATTCGTTGTGTTTCAAAGTTGCCAAATGTTTTCATCTTTCAGATGGTCATGATACAGTTTCCTGGTGATGTCACTGTGGAAGCTGTATGTCTTCTGTGTAGAGTGATGATCAAAACTATTTTTCTTTGTTATGCCAGCTCCAAAAGGTATTAAATGTGAGCTGTGTGATGGCATTACTTTTTTTTGAGGAACAATGTGGCAGAAAGAGTCCTGTGCTGGAAAGCAGGCAAATGGTTCTAGTCTAAAAATTTTACATGACTCTTAATGTATTCCTCCATATATTATTCAGTATAACTCCTTAGTCTTTTAAAGGACTCTGTCTTGCTTTTTTGATCCAACCCATCTGAATACTAGATGAATGTGTAATTTCTAAAAAAGACTTGACAAGTATGTTCATTGGCTCTGTAGCTACTCTGCTTTCTTACTCATTCTTCTTCCTGCGTTGGTTTGGTTTTTATTGTTTTGGAGGGGTTTTAAATGGATTTTTTGAGAGTGAATCTTTTTTACTATGGTTTGGCATCACTTAAGATGGTTTATTTTTTCTCTCTTCCGTATATTCCTTTTAATTATCAATTATTACAGTTACAATTTCAACAACAGGTTTCAGACTGCTAAAAGGCATACTTCATTTGCTTTAATTTGAACAAAGTTAAATTTATTTCTTCTGTATTGTGTTTACTACGTTAAATGAACCATATAGTTCAAATTGCACAGGGACATTCATTAATCTTAAATCAGCGACTTTAAGTGTAACACTAAAATAATTAAAATATAAGCAACTCAACCCTATTGTAGACTCTCAGAGCCAATTTCTAACCTCAGCTGTATTGTTATAAATCAGGTGTAACTCCATTCACTGTATTAGCACCATTGTAACCAATATCAAGACAAGGACCTTAACATGGGTCCTAACCCCAAGTGCAAGATCTTAATCTACATTACTTCCTATGTTAGATGAGTAGATGTATCAATGTAAATACTAATATTTGCAATCAAATAGAAAATTACTGTAAACAAACAGCCACAAGATTTATGTATAAACTTGGCAATTACAAATAGGGCCTTATCTACACAGGACTACCAGATCCTACCCTAGAAGTAAGATCTAGAAAATTCTTATAGAGCAGTTTTCTCCTTTGGGATATATCAATATTTCAGGGCCTTGAGATGCCAAGCAGGGTTGGAGATTGTGAGAACAAATAGAGATCATTCTGTCAAGTAAGATTTTGAAATCAGACCATTTTTGGGTGGTGATCTGTATGTTCTAAAGTGGGGCAGCATGCAGGATGATCATTGTTTTGAACTCTCTTGTCTCCTTAGAATGAATCAAATCAAAGCCAGGACTTCAGTTCTTCTCCTCATGGGTCTGCATCCAAATTCTGTACCTTGAATCTATCTCTAGCTAGAAATGTAAATATTCATTGTAAGGACATATATTTGATTATTTGATGTGAAGTCTGATGGAAACTGGAAGAGCCACTTCCTCTTTTTCTTGATAACTCAAGAAAAATCAGTAAACGAACATTAGCCTGAGTAAAAAAAAACAACCTACAGAAGCCTAAAACCCAATTAAAACTGTTAGTTCCAGCCTTTACTTAATAAGAGATGCTGATTCACTGATTAATTGAGGATTCATACCTTTAGTTATCTCAGTAGACAAAACTGTGCATTGGTCCTTACAAGATGTTTATGTACAGTCATGATACTTTTTCTTACTAAGTATGCAGCTAGGAAGTTACCTTAATTTATGTTGTTCAGACAATGATTGAGAGATACAACTTCTGCATGAGGCCATAGCACTTGCTGCGTCTGTACCCTCTGCTATTTTGTGTGCTTATGAATGGCTAATAACGTACCAGGAAGATTTTACTCATCTCTTCAGAGTTAAGTGTGAGAAAGGGAATGTAAATGCTGAGAATAATTACTGTACTGTAATTAGTATAATAGTTTGATCTGACAGGATACAGACTGATTGGCAGATAGTCAGCAAATGGCTCTGTATTTGTTTTATTAGCTATTCTTTGAGAAAAACCTGAAAGTGGATTTCACATCCTTAGTTATTTTCCTTAGTTATTTTTGATACAACTCTTTCACACCTCCATGTAACCCAGGATGATTGTTATGTTCAAATTTAGTCTAAATACCAAACCTGAAGTATATCTTACATTTTATTTGCCATGCTTAGGTGTTTGAACTTGAAAAGCTGGCAAATAAGCTTTGTAAACCAACCCGTCCTGATCTAAAATATTTGTCCATTAATTATCAGACCTTTTGCTTTACATCAAGCTCTCTAAGTAGATCTGACTTGAAGTAATATTTTAGGCATATATTCAATTCCTGCAAATCAAATATCCTTGGAAGGCAGCTGTTGCACTCTCTTAAATCCCATAAAGGTAGTATTTGAAGTTTAGAATTAAACTGTAGCTATTGGAGAATAGTTAAACCAACAATAATAGATTATTGAACAAATGGAGGTATCAAAAACCAGGGGTTCAGAAATGGCAGCAGTAACTCTAGGCATGGAGAGTGTGAACTTGATAACTGCAAACTGACTCTCTTACTTTTTGTGGTGTCCATACTGTGATGCATGGTTCACCAGGAACTTGGAAGAAACATGTTGTGTTCTGGAAATGCCTCATGAGTTGCAGGCCAACTGTGGAGGTTGTACTAAAGCGCTGGCAAAATTTCAAACAATTACTGGGCAGTGCTGACCAATTCTAGAGGACAAGGCAGCATGAGTAGGATCTACAATGGTTTTCTGATGAGTGGTGTCAGACAACTTTGGAAGTTAAAGTGCTGATCATGCAGTGAGTACAGCAGCTTGCAACTCAGCAGCTAATGAGATTGCTTTGTGTCCTTTCTTTCTTGTGGAAATGTGCTTTTTTATTTTATCAAGAAGTGATTATGTTATCTTTATTATTGTTATTATAACTTCAACTTAGAAAAGTTATGTTGAATTTTATTTTCGTTTGTAGAGCACTGTTCCATTGAAATTAACACAATATCTAGGAAGAAGGGTAGAGGGAATACAGAAGGACAGAAGGAATACATCTCCTATAACTGCTGCCTTGGCATATGCACTGCAGATAGTCACCTAAGGTTTCTTTTACATCAATGGAGAGAAATAAAAGTTTTGTGTATAATTCATTTGTTCCATGTTAGCCACATGTTTTGCGAGTCAAATTGTACTCAGTAAATTTCTATTTACTTTTACAGCCTGTGAAAGGAGCCTAGACAACTGACTGAAATGAATGCCATTTAAAGCTATTAGAACATTTAGGGTGGGAACACTTCTGTCACTGAACTTACATTCTTGATTTATTTCCTTTCTGTCTATTCATTGTATACAATTTCCCCAGTGTTGTATTTTAGCTCTTAAAAACTTAGATTAGTTTATCCAGATAGCATCTTTTTACAAGTATTGTTTCAGACAAGAATTGAGGCATAGACTGATGGGGAAGTTGGAGATATCTGGATCTCAGATCCAAAGCAAAGGCATATGCTGAAACTCTTTATTTCTCAAGTTCCCTGTTGTGCCTTAATCTAAGCTCACATAAAAAATAGAACCTCACCTGTTTTTCTTCAGTCCTTGAGATACCACAAAATGAATATTACCTCACATTCAGCAGCACAGCATGGAATTGGCTAGAGAGGCTGTTACAGCTGGTGAGCTCCCTGGAGGCTTTCAAATTACTGCAGTGTCTAAGAAAGCAACAGAACCCTGCAGAGCTGTAGTGTATATATAGATATGTATTGAGCCTTGTCCTGGTTTATGTGATTAAAGAAACCTTCTACCACAATATTTTCTATGTTGCAAAAGATCCTAAACATATAATAGAGAATTATATGGTTTCTGTGGGATATTTGCTCCTGCTATCTAAGAAATACCAGACATTAGAAACCGTAAAAATGAGTATCACATTTTGGAAGGACCCTAGGTCCTTATTCTTGCGTTTTGCTTTGGTTGTTACCATCCAGCTGTGGACTCTGTGAAAGCCCACTCCGTGCCCAGGCAGTGCACAGGGCTCCCTGCTTGTAGATTGGCTGTGGTGGCCCTTTTCCATGTCTCTCATTCTGTTTGCAGTTTGGCAGGAAGCAAGGGAGGAAGGTGAAAGAGCCTTCGGGTATGTGTGAAAACGCGGTGCAGTTGTGCACATGCCGTAGGTCTGGGTTTGAGATGGAAGAAGGAGCAGGGACCGTGCTGCGCTCCGCGTTTGCTAAACGTTCCTTGGCTCTCCCAACCAAAACAGGTTTTGTGAGGAGATCTATGGAAGAGAGCAGGTAACACCTTCATCATTCTGCCTTAGCATGAGTAGCAAAACCAACAGTTAAGGCCTGGGGATTTCCCACTCTTCAACTCCAGATCCCATAATTCTTGTGAAGAACACATGGAACAATACTTTTCCCATGTTGTCCTAGTTTTGGCTATTCCCTCCCCTACTTCTACCCAGATGGTGGAACAAGAATTCAAAAATATGAGCAAAGATTTATCCTTTTTTTTTTTTTTTAACAGGAACTGAGGATTTTAGTATGAAGTACAGGAAGTCTCATATTGCATAGGATTTCTGGCAGATTTTCCACTATAATTTCCATTGAGTTTTGTGTGGAAGCACACAGTTCATATATGCTGACCCTGCTTTGACTTGTAGCGTGCTTAAAAGTAAATAAATACACAAATATTTTTTTTGCTCAGAGGATAACTTCATTGTGTTTCATTGTTCCTTTCACAGCTTTTGAAGGAAATTATTGGCCCCACATTTTTCTGCAAAAACAGAAAGAATCTCTGCAAAGAAGTAAGTGCCTGACCTGGTGTTTAATGTTCACATTGAACTATGAGTGACAACTCTATTCAGCATCAGTTTTGTATTGCAGAAGACATTGTACAAAACACATAATAAAAATCAGTCTTTGCCTCAAGGAGCCTACGTTTTGAAGCATTAGTTTTAGAAATTCCGAATGAAGACTTTGCATATAAACAGATGGTAAAATATGTTGTCTCACTCGTAAGTTTTTAAGTAAATGGAAAGTGCTTTAGTGTGCTATGCTGAGGTTTTGATGCCTAAGGGTAGAAACTGTGAGCAGTTTAGTAGCCTTCCACATTTAGAAGTTTACTATTGGGGTCATTTGTGTGATGCTTGATTTTCATTCCTACGTATTACTGCCTAATACTATCTAAAAATTTAGGATATGGATTCTTTTGATATTGCAAAATCCAGGAAGTTAAATAAAACTCATTTTCTGTATAGATTAGATCTGTAAAAATAATTTTAAAGATTTCAGGTTAAAATAAATTTATATGCAAGTGAAAAATCAGAGTATGGAATACTTCTTCCTCACCTTTATAGCCAGCAGCCAGTGGGGAGTGAGGGTATGGACAGATCTCTACTTCAACATTGAGCTGTGCCGCCTGTAGCTACTGCTGCCACAGTTCTGGTAGCTTAACAGTGGTTTTCCCGTAACTCCAAAGAATGGCTTGTGTGGATGCATCCAAATCTGTACACAAAATTAACTCCAGCCACCTACTTACTGTGAATTTGTGCTAGTCCTTCTGAATCTGAGAAATATAAATAGTAAGATACTACGACCTTACTTGTGTAAAAATGTGTTCAGTGCTAAAATAATTAGTATATTATAGCTTTAAAGTACTAAAAATGTTAGCTATCAGAAGTACTGTTAGAAAGACAGATATCATTAAAATGTTAACTCATAATTAAAATGGTAAATTTTGACAGCAGTGATTGTGACATTTTCTACTAGAAAGAAATTTTGGTTCTGTTCAAAAGGAGGCCGGAACACGTACTTGGAAGCCAGAGCTCAAGGGAGGGGAAAAGCAGAAAAATCCCAATAGCCTCACAAAATTCTCTGATCTGGAAATAATTGGAGACTGAGAGAGTATCTGTGGAGGTATATATGCTTGACTTGATGGTAGTCTTCCCTTGGGCAGTCTGTTAATGATCACTGCTGGAAATAAAACACAGAGCTACATCAGCCCTTGATCAGAACCAATACAACTTTTCACACGTCCTTTTCTGAAGAAATGTGAGACATTAAATTCTAAATTTAAACTTCATTCAACAGATATTTAGTTTTCCATGTCCATGATCAGAATGAATAAATGTCATCATGCTGTCATGATATACTATATTTTACATTATATGTTCGTCTGTTAAGCCAGGATATGGAAAGCTATAACCCTTCTAAAACCACACATTTTCACAAGATGCTTTTTAAATAAGTACGGATATCAATCCTAGTATTCTGAACATTTTTTTCTATCGTATTCTGTTTACAGAAAATCTTCCTAGTAATTTATGATGTTTTGCATTAAAATACTGTGCTTTACTTCTACATACCATTAAAAAACAACTCCAAAACTTTTTGCATATCAGTGGTTGGCAATGAAATTCTTTTATCTAGTTTGGGGAAAATGCAGCGGTGTAGAACAAAACCAATTATATAAAATGCAAATTTATTATAATGAGAAGCTTTTCTTTAGGCAGAATAAACTGAGAGTGGCTTGCATTAGCTGAATTCTCAATCAGCATAAGCATGGAAATCTACATGAAATTCATCCTAAAAGTAAAAATAGTTGAAGACTTGTGATCAGACACAAAAATCCCAAATATTCAGGAACTCATCACTGCATGCTGTCTGTTTTTACAGCAAGAGGAACAACAGAGCATGGATATGACAAATTAAAAGAAAATCCCATTATATTAATTAATAGGAGAACTAAACACAAAAGACAAACATATAATCTAGTTTTAAACTTCCTAGAGTTATTGACACTCTCATTTGTTATTTTTCTTTGATAAGACTTAAATAAAAGCCAATACACTGAACATGCTTCTGTATTTATAGAAAGGGGCACATATTGCACTCTGACCATTGTGCAACCCCAGATAATCTTTCCTTGGCACACACCTGCTTTGGTGGTCAGTATCACTTAAACACAATATGTTAAACTAGCTGGACTTGGGCATGAAGGACCAATGATAACAATTAGATGATTCCTATTTTCCAGTCAGACCTTCAGGACAGAACAGAAGTATGGAAGAGGAATACTTTTTACCAACAGGTAACAGCTCTTTGGGAAACAGTATTTTCTACATGACCTGGATAAAAGCAGTGACATTCTGTAATAATTTGATCACTCCTTAGGAGTTAAAAAAAAAATCTTTTGGCTTTAAAACAATGAATATAAATTTCAGGTAGACTTTGTTAAATTTAGCTGATGCTTTGTGGCTCTGAGATATATTCTAAGATACCTGACACCATAAGAAAAATATGACATATGACACTATAAGCAAAAATAATTAAAAAATGAAAATTAACAATCTGAGTCTGGAAATATGAAACCGAGGACATGATTTTAGTTACTTCAGTAGAACTCTCAGCTTCAAAGGGACTGTTCAAATGCTGTAAGTAGGTACAGAACTTTTTACAACAAGTGCTGGAGTTGTATCTCTTTTTTTTTTAGGATTAATTTCCACCACCAAAAATCTGTTTACTCTGATTAAAAGTTCAGATTACTTCTTAAAAATGAAAACTGATTAAAACATTCCATGTATTTATAAAGCTGGTTGAAAGTTTGTCACACAAATACAGAGCCAAAAAAAGTGAGGACTGACAAGTTGAGCTTTGCAGACTGTCTTTGGATATCTAATGATTGACTCTGCAATTATTTATGATACAGTAATGCCATAGATAGGTTGGTAAATGCTGTGTCTGAGATGTTAAAGGTCTCTCCAGTAGCAAGCTGTCGCCTTTGCAAACAGATCAAACACACTGAAATAAGAAGGTAAACCTTTATATTACTCATGAAGGAGTTGGAATGGTTTTTCCCAAGCTAGGAAGCTGGGGAACTCTCCTCTATTTACAGGAAGTAATAATATTGCTCTCCTTCTGCATATTGTTTGACTTCCTGACTTGAGATAAAATTCTGAGCTTACAAAAGAAAAAACAAAAATAGAGGACTAGGATGTTGTTTACAGAATTCATCTGAGTAGAAACTGAATAGCTTCTCCTACTATTTATTTGAAGTGCCAGTCAGAATGAGCAAATATGCTTTTAGGAGGCCTAAATGTGTTTTTCTTTCTCTTTTGTAGTTTTGAGCAAGGATTCTTGTTCTACATGGGGTGGAGGCCATTTTTCAACCTTTGATAAATACCAGTATGACTTCACTGGGACTTGTAACTATATCTTTGCAACTGTATGTGATGAAACCAGCCCAGACTTCAACATTCAGTTCCGCCGTGGGATGGACAAAAAAATTGCAAGGATCATTATTGAGCTTGGACCTTCTGTTGTCATTGTTGAGAAAGGCAGCATTTCTGTCAGGAGTGTTGGGTAAGATTCTGGGATGAATAAGAAAAAAGTGTTTAGAGAAGGCAAGGAGTTATATGGCAGTTACAGTAAAGATGACTATTTTGTTTTAAAAATTAATTAACAAATCACTGAAGTTAACACACCTAACTGGACTCTGTTCCCATTGATTCCCATCAAGCATTCAGGTTCTCTAGGTAAGTATTGCATTTGCACTTATTTGAATCAAGCTTAGAGTACATTCTTGTAGGCAAAGGGATAAACTAATCTCCTCTGACCAAAACAGTTCTCAAACTGTAACTACAGTTTCCTAGATACTACCAGTCTGCTTATACTTATCTCTACTACAAGCACAGATGAAACAGCTTATACCCTTTAGTAGATACTAGTTGAAATTCCTATGTTTTGTTTAGAGTTCATTTACCTTGCTAAAGGTAACACATACATAGGGCATAACAGAAACTTTGAACTCTGCAACCAACAGAGAATACTGGATAGGTTCATTCCTCTAAACAAATTGCTCCCATACAAAGAAATTTCTCAAGGGAAGTTTTCAATATTCTTATTAGATAGGCAGTGTTGAATTTTTATCTCTGAGTACATGTGGATACAGGAAATAATTGACTGTGGATTGTCTGTATCTTATTATACTTACCTGGGCACAATAACTATTACAACAAAAATACAATTTGCACTATACCTTAATTTAGCAAACTGTATTTAGAAAAACTTCCTTTTTAAATTTGTTTTCCAGAAAAACTATATCTGTGGGCCTATTCCAGTGATCTGCATTTTAAATTTTTGACCTACAGTCACAAGAACCAAATGCCATGAGCTGGTCTAGTGTTGCACATAGCCATGCTTCAAGTGGAAGGCTGGTTTGGTCTTTCAGCCCCTTCTCATAGTTGTACCACTGAACACTTAGCAAAATGTATTTCTTTTGTAATGTTGTTAGTTTGTAGCATTAAAATTAATCTGCAAGGATGAAAACCTAATCCTGCTACAACATTCATATTATGGGTTTCTTTAATCTTGGCAGTTTTCAGTCATAGCAATAATTCCTATATTAATGGGCTGTAGTATGTAGAGTCTCTTCAGGATAATCAAGAATAGTTGTACCACAGAAACTTTATTGTTAGAAGTTCTTGAAACATACAACTATACCCTGATAAAAACAAACCAAGTGAAGAAGCCAAGTCCTGTGCAAACATTTTCACTAGTATAATCACTGTGCATCTATCTTTGGTGATTCTTCTATGATTTTCAATAAACAGACATTTTAATGTATCTTAAAATGTCACAGCTACGAAGGAAAAAAATTCTATTTCATATTGCTGCAAGTACTCAGACTGTATCTGTGTATCATATAAAGCCCCTCCCCAAACTAATTCCTGCATATTATTGGAATGAGAAGGTCAGTTTCTCTTCTTCCTTTATTACAGAGTTATTAAGTTGCCTTATACTAGCAATGGAATTCAAATAGCGCCTTATGGACACAACATCCGCCTGGTTGCCAAGCTGATGGAGATGGAACTAGTTGTCATGTGGAACAATGATGACTATCTCATGGTTAGTAAAATGTTCTCATAAAGCAGAAAAGAAAATTCTCATTTTATTTACTGGAGTGACGAGAACTCTTTAGACTTACTGGGTGCTTTTGCATGTATTTACTATTTGGGTAATTATTCTTTTCCTGTTTCATCCATTCCTCTTGCAAAAAACAACTTTTCATTGTATACCTGCATGTTCCTTTCACTTGCAGCATTGGTAGCTGGCTAAAGCCACCAATATTGAGATTTGTGGACACTTTCACACATTTTAATCTTTCCTCAGGGTATTCCAGCAGCTGCAATGTTTTACTATTGTTTAAAGTTGTGTAGAATTTAACAGTGTATGCCATAGTTTAGTCTTTGCTACTGTGCTTCCACAGGACATCTTTTGGTTTCAAACATACAGTCCTTCTACCAGTTTCTTTGTTTCTTTCCTTTTTTTAAATATTTTCAGGTTTTCCCTCCAAAATCCCCAGTACATTTTCTCAGTGTGACCTGTGATATTATTGCCATAAAAGACACTGAAATCTTAATTGATGTTTGCTAAAACAGGGAGAACGATATGTAATACATTTTCTGGGAGATTTATCAGCATTACTATAACACATAAAAGAGGAAAGGCTACTGTGATGGGTACAAACTATATTTTTTCTGTAGTCAGGTTACTTCTGACCTAAGATTTTCACAATAATTAATTGATCATAGCCAGTAGTAATACTACCACTTTAGTCTCCAGAGCAATAGATAATTGAATAATCTTTTTCTGAAAACAGACTTTCTTCCTGTAACCTTCCATTTCTTAAGAGAAGAAACCTGAAATTCATGTTCTGTCAACAAAGATATGAGCCAGGATACAGCATCATTTCCTTTTTTTGTTTTCTTTTCTGATTCCTTAAAATATTATACCCCCCTCCTTAATTCTCTGAAAGTGTCTTCAAATCTTATTCTTTTATTAAATAGATGAATAAATAAATCACTGTTTGCCTATTGGGAAAAGACATTACTATTTACAAAACTTTTCCTGCAAACAAGTAATTGAAATTAATGAGAAGGATCACCTTAAGTTGTGTCTTTGAACTGAATTTGTTTGAGTAAGTTAATGCTGTATAGATAATTTCACTCAGGGTGATCCTTTTAAATGTTTCATTCCATTTTATTTTAGGTTTTGGCTGAAAAAAAGTACATGGGGAAAGTCTGTGGAATGTGTGGAAATTATGATGGTTATGAATTGAACGAATTTGTGCGTGAAGGTAAGATACAAGGACGTTTCATGTGGAAAAAAAACTAGTTAAAGTGAGTCGAGGTGAAAGCTTAGTACTGTATTGCTCTGACTGCTCACTCAGCTTCAGAACTGCATAAAGCAGTTCCATAGGTCACCAACATACCTGTTGTAGATTATGGTACACACTGTTATCTACTGTGAGCAGAATATTGTGGGTTCCTCAGACAAGTGATAAGAAATCTCTTATATTTTAGAAACAGGTGGTAAGGTTCACACTCTCTCAAATTTCACACAGTCTAAGCTCATAGTAAGGCACAGTGAGGGAAATAATTACTATAGGCAGAGGCAAGGATGAGGCAATAATAAGAACACAGTGGACAAGAATATTAGCAGTGTGTCCCAATAATTGTAGATCTTTATATTGAAATGGTGCTGAGGAATTGAGGGGGTTCACTTCTGAGTCACTCTAATCTGGTCTGTTGATTTATTGCCCATTAGTAGTTGGATCTTGTTACTCAAGCTCTTGCAACGTATCTTCCAGCTTGGTTTAATCTTAAAAGTACTTCATATGACAAGACCCCTCCACAACAGAAAAAAACAAAAGAGGATGTTTGGAATATTTGCTTTAAAAGCACACTGCTAATCTGAATTGTAGTGCTAGTGTGGAGACATTAAATTGCACAGTAAACTAATCTTAGATCAACACAGACAAATGTAGTTTTCTATATACATCACAGAAATGAGTTCTAAAAATTATATAATAATCTTTGGGTTGTGATGAGTTTAACCCCATATATAGGGGAAGATATAAGAATGGGGGATAAGGAGAAGAGGTATGAATTAACAGCTGGCAAAAGATAACACAGCTGGCAGAAAACCAGTAGCAGCATGTAAGGTAGTAGATGTGATAGATTGAGAAATAACTTGAAGAAATGATCATGGTAATAAAAGTATACTCTGTTTAATAGACTCCAGGTAAAGGGCAAAAGAGGCAGTTGTCATTGGGAAAATTCATTCGTAGAACATTTCACAATCAAAGAGTAGAATTTGAGTTTTACTGCATCACAGCAACAAGTAAACAAATCAACGTGGGCTGTTTCCTGACAAATTATAACCCTTCAATTTACAGGTAAATTGCTGGATACATACAAATTTGCTGCATTACAAAAAATGGATGATCCATCAGAGATCTGCCTGTCTGAGGAGATACCAATTTCCACCGTTCCTCACAAAAAATACGTAAGGAAGATCTTCTTGGCTTCTCTGTGGTGTGATTCTTAACAGAGGGGGAAAGATAGAAATCAACAACAGAGAGGCAATAAATATAAAACTGACTTCCATGAAAAAACATAAAGTCAACATTTGTATAGCCTGATATGATAAAGAAAATTAGTTCTTTGCATTGAAATACATTTTAATAAAAACCCATGGGCATTTCTGAGGCTGGATTTATATCACTCATAAAAACCAACTTGAAGACATTCCCAATGCCTGAAACATGCCAGATAACAGCACCGATAACAGGGACAACCACTAGTAACTGCTGTCACTTACAGTTCTAGATGAAAAGTGTGCCTGAGAGTCTTGGAGACCCTATACTGCAGTAGCCAATGTGACAGGGAACAATTTTCTTTCTCCTTTCATTTAGGCCATGATCTGCTCTCAGCTACTTAATTTGGTGTCACCAACCTGCAGTGTGCCAAAGGACGGGTTTGTCATTCGTTGCCAGCTTGATATGCAGGACTGCAGTGAGCCAGGACAAAACAGCTGTGCTTGCTCTACACTGTCAGAATATTCAAGGCAATGTGCTATGTCCCACCAAATGGTGTTCAACTGGAGAACTGAAAACTTCTGTTGTAAGTTCAAATGGTTTATTCGTGCGAGGCTGTACTTAACTTTTCTGTGTCATAAATACAGGGATACTGATAAATAACTGGAGTGTAAAACAACTGATAAAAAAGTCTTTACTGTCTTGAATCAAACTTATTTTCTTAAGAGAACAACAGTGGTCTTTGATAAAGTGAGCGCAAGGAAACCTCAAAGGAGAAGAGGGAAGCGTAGCTCTTGAAACGTAGCTCTTATGTCTAGATCAGTGACAGTAAAACAAAGGAACATCCACCAAGTGAAAACTGTTTTAATTTCTCAAACTTGCAACAGGAGACTGTTCTCTTTAAAAATTTTAACACTTCTGCTGTTTGTTGCAGCTGTGGGAAAATGTTCTGCAAACCAAATCTATGAGGAATGTGGTTCTCCATGTATTAAAACCTGTTCCAACCCAGAGTACAGCTGTTCCAGTCACTGTACCTACGGCTGCTTTTGTCCAGAAGGTATCATTTCATCATATTCTAAATGAATGACACAAATATTTTTTCCTTGCATATATCCACTCAAGTGGAATAGGCTGCTTAATAATGAACTAGCCATGCATTTCGGGGCATTGTGCTGCTAGAGCTGCTACTTCTTGTGTAACATAACTGGAGTCTTGATTAATTATGGTCCTTAAAGATGATTGGTCACTATTTGCAAGAACAGAGCTATGGAATCATTTTCCTCACAAAACCATGATTTGTTATGGGATAATGATGTGCTGCCTCCTCAAAGTTCTGTACTATACTATACACTGAGTAAGCTTAATTAATTTCCTATCCCAAACAGGTATCTAGCCCTTAAGGGCGTCTACAAGAGGTAGCATACCTCAGATGATTTCTGCAATATCATGGGCATTTTGTAAATTCCCTTTAAAATAGTTCAAGATGAACTTCCTTCAAAAATTGTAATTATTACTATCATATACCTTGTTTCTTGAAATTTCAGAACTGATATATCCTCCAATGTGGGCATTTACATCAATATCACCAATTTATAGCAGTCAAAAGTAATGTGTTGTGAGTTACATATTTAAAACTAGACTTAGTACTCTAGGAAATATAATGTGTTTATTCTTCAAAATTCCCAAGTTAATTTAGAGTGTCATAGGGAAAAAAAAAAAAAAAAAAAAAGGAAAAATAAAGATAACATTCTACCTTACTGCTATTTCAAATGAAGTTCAAATTTCAAAATAAGACACGTGCCTGCACTTTCATGTTAGAAAGCAGCCAAACACTGTGAACAGTCAGTTTTATTTTAATTAAGAGACATTTTCCTGGATACTGTATATCAAAGTATGGACACTGACTGTGGAAGAATAGCATACTCAAGATAATTTCAGAAAGCACTGAAGCTTTAGTGCTAAGTAAGGATGTGGAAAAGTATTTTGTTTATCTTTGGCAGGAACTGTTCTTGATGATATCTCCAAGAATCGAACGTGCGTTCACATTAGCCAGTGTCCATGTACACTGAATGGGAAACCATATGCTCCTGGTGAGACAATGAAAGCAACATGTAGGACCTGGTGAGTAAAAACAGCTACTTTTATGAGAGATCACCAAGTTATTGGAAAATTTAGCCTGACTTTTCAGAGGGGAGCTGCAAATGTGTCATACCATCTGTGAGGCCACCTTCTTGCAGTGCCACGTATCATACATTTGCAATTAAAGAGGTACATGTCTCATTTCATAATTAATCTCTACAAATAAAAATACTCTTTCAGACCATACAAAACAGTAGTATTTATATCTCCTCTTTGAAAGTCCAGGTAAAATTAGTACAAAACAAATATCCAGTATTTACAGTTTCTTTTTGGCAATCTCAGTCTTTCTCATCTCCAGATCAGTGCTGAAAACTAAATTCTGTTTTGCAACAGAAAATAATAACTTAAGAGAGTATTTTTTTAAAAGTGGAATATTTTTTTTTGGTATCACGTGTCCTGCTATCATAATTCTAATAAAGAATGTAAAGGAAAAGAAATGCAACGATGAACACAGTTTTCATGATTCAGGAACATTAACTGACAACCCATACAAAAGTTCAACAACTTTGAATGAAGATGACCATCTTCAACTGATATACATAGACAAAGAAAATCAAAGCATAGAAAGTGTAAGGGGAAAAGTGGTACAAATGACTTGTTCCATTACTAGGAAGTAGGTGAGTTTTTAGAGTCTGAAGAAAATTCCGAAGTACAGAAAATGAAAGTTCAGAATGTATGTGTATGTTACTTTGCGTTCACTTACCAATTTTGCATGTTGATCAGCTGTAGAGAAACCTCCAGACAGGAGGATATCAAATTTGGTAAACAGGGCCTTAGTATGAGAATAACCTTACACAGAATTTCTTGTTTTCCGCAGTAAATGTATGATGGGTCAATGGGACTGCAAAGATTTGCCCTGTCCTGGAAGGTGTTCGCTGGAAGGAGGCTCCTTTGTTACCACGTTTGATTCTAGGTCATACAGATTCCATGGGGTTTGCACTTATGTTCTCATGAAGGTAATTTCTTGCAGTTAAGAAACACAAAATATCAAGTGGATGTATTTTAGTCTGTCTTTGTTTTTCTGCTGAACCACAGACTGAGGTCTTCCTAAGTTATACATTGATTCTACAAATCAGCATTATTCTGACGTAGACTTTTCACTGTTTCCCCCCAGAGTGCCAGCCTGCCACACAATGGAACCCTAATGGCAGTATATGAAAAGACTGGTTATTCTCATTCCGAAACGTCACTTAGTGCTATAATTTACCTATCCACAAAGGTAGGTATTCCCTCCACAGGTTCCATCCACCATTTCAGTAACCAGATAAGCAAAATAGGTACTTAAAGTCATTGCTAGTAGCCTGAACTGAAAAATTATGGGGAATAGATACTAAAGATATGTTCATGTTCATGCACACACGGTAAAGATCTCAGTTACTACATCAACTCAGGAAGTTAGAGTATTTTCAAAGTGAAAGCTAAAAGCAGTACATAATAATATGTGACAAAATACTTGAATCAATCTTTTCCTATTAAGTGACAATACAGTTGTTTATGTTAAAGAACATACAAAAACCACCAGTACAGATAATTACTTCTGATTCCATGTCCTTTTCTTACAGGACAAAATTGTGATTTCTCAGAATGATCTCCTCACAGATGATGATGAACTTAAGCGGCTACCTTACAGATCAGGTAAAAAAAGGGGAATGTAAGTTATTCTCAAATTGCATTAAATGTCTGTTTTATACAACCCAGCATCCTTTGCAATTTCCAGTTGCTAATACCAGAGGTTTTAGAAGAGGGTTAAAATCTTTCCTATTGCATCTGTTCCTCTGTGGAGAGCTGTGTGTGGGAGAAGGGTTGTAGACAGAATGCCAGAACACTTATATATGCATTAAAATCATTACCTTGCAGTATCACCAAAATATCTATTTCTAAATGTCCTTGTTCTTTTAGGAGACATTACTGTTTTCAGGCAGTCCTCAATGTACATTCAAATGCATACAACTTTCGGGCTGGAACTTGTAGTTCAAACATCACCTGTGTTCCAGGCCCACGTGAAAGCTGGATCACAATTCAAAGGCAGAACACTAGGTAAGTGATCTAGTCATTGTGTGAAGGAGAAAAGCAGGGAGTATAATTTTGAAAACTTAGTACTCGTCCTTTAAGAAGTAAGTTTTCTTCTCTGGATTCGAAGAAAAAAAAAATCTACATTGGAAACCCAATGTGCCAAGAATTTTTTTTTTTTTGTTAACAACTTTAAAACAAATGAAAGAAATTAAATGGGTCACATTTTTCATGTGTAATACAATACTGTTCTTTACATGTTTTATGTGTGCCTTTTTCAATATGTGTTTTGCTACACAGTGAAGGAGCAACAAATAAGTCTGTGTGGTCTCTACATCTTGGAGCACATGGTTCTTTGAATGTAGTGCACGATCACTGTAAACACAATGAGCCTAAGAATCTAAAAGCTTCTCAGCAGATAAGTACCAGATGGAGAAGTTTATGTTTATTGCACAGCAACATTAGCCACACAGGCATATTTTGCATTCTGATCATGGGGAATTACAGAGAGGCTTTATCTTTTACAAATTCAAAATGCGTATTTTTTGTCATTACAGATTTTACATGCATAAGAAAACATGCAATTGCATAAGGGTTTCATGGCCTTTCTCTTTTATATCATTTAAAACCACTTGTTTCTAAAAACAAGACAAAAACTTCTTTATGAATTTGTCATTAAATAGAAGTCAACACTCTTCACTTGAAGAGGCAGAGATCAGTAAGTGAATGTGTACATAATCAAGATTCTCTGGGTACGTGACCTATAGTATTCATTGACATTCTACATAGAGCTTTTGAATCAATTTTCTGACTATTATAAAATGAAACATAGGCCACTGTGTACACATTCTTTAATTGTCATCCATCCTTTGCATTTCTGATGTTATTAGGTTTGTGTGGCAATTACAATGGAGACACTACAGATGACTTCATGACTAGCATGGATATCACTGAAGGGACAGCCTCCTTGTTTGTAGATTCCTGGAGGGCAGGAAATTGCCATCCTGCTTTAGAGAGAGAGACTGACCCTTGTGCTTTGAGTCAACTAAACAGTAAGTAGATGATCCTGTTGTAACTGATCTCTCCAGCTAGCTTTGTCTGACAGTTCCATAAGCTCATACCAGGGAAATGAGAGTTTGGTAGAAGCAGAAACTGAGACATCACAAATTCTGTCACCAACAAGACATTTCTGATTTCTAGAATTCATATACAGTGAAAACTTTTCAGATTCCATTCCAGAGATCTGGAATTGAGATGATGAATGAGAATGAGAGGGTTTTGGTGATCTATCCAGTGAAATTGCAGTGTCTATGGATGTCTTAGGCTTGCTTTAAAGTACTGTGACTGAAATCCAGACTTTGCCTTCCCAAATTTCTATTGCTATTGGTCATTTAAAAAAAAAACCAAAACCAAAAACAAAAAAACCCTACTGAGCTGTTTGTACAAAAACAGAGTATGGAAGCTAAGAAGTTAAGAAGTTATCCTGTTGTTCAATCCATCTTTGCCAAAAGTTCACCTAGAGCTAACGTATCAATTTTTTTAAGGTTTTTTTTTCATTTTTCCCCCTGACTTTCTACTTTTAATGTTTGTGATTTATTTTCATTAGAAATATCTGCTGAGACTCATTGCTCCATTCTTACTAAGAAGGGTACAGTGTTTGAGAAATGCCATGCTGTGGTCAACCCTATTCCTTTCTACAAGGTAGGAAATTATGATAGACATTGTACAGAGGGAGTCCAAATATAAACCAGATTGTGCTCATAGGCAGTATCCCACACACTGAATCAGCAATGCATAGAAGCAAAGGAACAGGTGTGGTTTTGAAAATTATGTCTCCTCCACACTGAAAGTCTGTTTGTTCATAGGCACCAGTCCCATTCCTATGAATCAGAAGGTATTTTTGCTCATACGGCGGTTGTCCGTGACAACTATAACTATTCGAAGTATTGATTTTTACCATGGGCATAATTGAGCTCATTGTATTTGCCAATCTACACAAAACATTTTGAGAATTCAAAATGAGAAGCAGCGAATATACAGGTGTTTTTTAGGTATTAAGTATATTTTATTTACATCAGCAAAGCAATTACTCAGATATTTTCCCTCAGTTTTAGTTATGCAATACTGTGTATTTTGTCTGACTTAGCTCTGCAGTTCAGCATAGAATCACAGAGTTTGGAAAAGATCTTTGAGATCATTGAGTCCCACCATAAACATAACACTACCAAATCCACCACTAAATCATGTCCCTAAGTGCCACATCCCACACATCTTTTAAATATCTCGAGGGTTTAGCATTTCCAGATGTCTGCACCCCAGTAACAAAGTATTCTCCATGTATTGGGTTTCAGAGATGTGTCTACCAGGCCTGTAACTATGAAGAGACCTTTCCACACATTTGTTCTGCTCTGGGATCATATGCACGAGCATGCAGTTCAATGGGTTTAATCCTTGAGAACTGGAGAAGCAGTATGGACAATTGCAGTAAGTAACTGAAGCAGCTCTTAATGGTCTTCCATCAGATGAATGCATGCATACAGGTCTGCCTATTTCCATTTAGAATATTCCTGTGTTTGATTCACCTGTGACAAAACTGAGTAAGAACAAGAACTTATTTTAAAACAACTTGTCAGTGTTTACAAAAATAACTACATATTGCTCAAGTAGGCCAACCAACAGGTATAAAAACTGTTTTCCCAGGAGTTACTGGCATCGCAGATGTGTCAAAACACAACCAAAAAAAAAAAAACCAAAATGGTAATGCAATATTTGAAATGGTGTCCAAATCATCTTAAGAGTAATAAGAAAAGTAGTGAACAGAAAGAAGAAAAAAGCAGAAATGGGATAACAGATACCCAACTTTTGAATATCCTTCTAGTCTCTTTCAGAAAAAAATTGTGATTTTAGTCTGTATGAAGAAGATTATTCATATGCTTTAAGGTGAGCATGTGGATGCTTCCAGGACTTGATAATTAAGTGATGGAATAGACAGATAAATAGAGTTATACTGTACTGTAAAATGAGAATGAACTAGGAAAAACTCTGGTTGCAGATTTGATTTTGTTTTTATGCAACTTAGGTACAGGTTTCACAGTTACTCGAATATAATATACATCGATATTTCTGCAAAGCTACTCAAAAATACATTGATATTTCTGCAAAGCTTTTCTTTGCATTATTTTATTCCAAGATACACAAAGAAGCAGTTACATATTTAACCTTCATGAAACTTCCAAACAGCTACATGGTTGCTGTTAAGCCCTGGTCTGCAATATGTTTTGCTAGAGCTCCATATCCATAGGAAGAGAAGCTGCTGGAAGCATTAAGCATTGAAGCTGTTGACACAAAATAAGCAGCAGTGATGAGCACAGTTACCTTTCACAAGGAAGAGGATCAGTAAATGAAGTTTAACATACACTCTTTTACAGCCATTACTTGCACTGGCAATCAAACATTCAGCTACAACGCTCAGGCATGTGACAGGACATGCTTGTCACTCTCCAACCGAGCCCTGGAATGTCATCCAACTGATATTCCTATTGAAGGCTGCCAGTGCCCTAAAGGACTGTACTTGAACCACAAGAATGAGTGTGTTCGTAAATCTCATTGTCCCTGCTATTTGGAAGATAGAAAATACATCCTGCCTGACCAGTCAACAATAACTGGTGGGATCACCTGGTAAGTTTAAGTTTAAAGCTTAACAAACTGAAAATGGAGGTGAGGGGTCTTCATGTGTCTCTGCTGATGGTTAAGGTCAGTAAGCAGCTAAGCATCACACAACTGCTCACTCCACTGCAGCCAGATATGGAAAAGAATCAGAAAGAAAAACTCAAGAAAGTTTATGAGTTGAGATATAGATAGTTTAATAAATTTCTTTATTATTAATATGCAAAAAAGCTTTTTTAATAAGTGAAGATGATGTGCAATCAAAGCTAAGTAAGAAGTTAGTTCAGGGCTTTCTGTCAGCAGGCAGCTGCTTAGACATTTCCAGGAAAACATGAATTTGTCATCCATAATGCTTTCTTGGGAAGACAAGTGCTGTAACTCCAAACATCCTTTTTCCTCCTTCTTTACCTGAGCTTTTATTGCTGAGCTTGATGTAGTATAGTATGGAGTATCTCTTTGGTCAGTTTGGGTCAGCTGTCCTGGCTGTGTCCCCTCCCAGCTTCTTTTGCACTCTCAACCTCCTCCCTGGTGGGGCAACATAAAGAGCAGAGAATGCTGTGACACTGTTCAGCAACAGCTAAAACAGCATTGTGTTATCAACATTGTTATGGTCACAAATCCAAAACATAGCACCATTGAACTGCTACAAAGAAAATTAACCCCATTCCATCCCAAACCAGTATATACTGCTTTATTTTTAATAGGAGAAGTTTGTTTTTCTAGATGTCTTTTTTACCTTTTCCTAAGCCACTATTGCCTAAAAAGAACTCTGGGGCCCAATTAGGTAGGAGGTAAGATAAGGAAACAGAAAGCTTTAGTGAGTCACTATGCTCCAGGAATACAGCACGCGACCATTTGACCCAGGTGCTACAATTTTATAATGATGTCCATCCAATCCCCGCTTGTTCACCCCCCAGTTCTGCCCCGTTCTGCCCCTCGGCACACCCCTTTGGGAATTGAGTTTGAGGGAATTTGGGACCCCTCTTTCATCATCTTCCTCTTCAGCAAAGCACATGCAGCCCTTGGAGGCTCTCCAAAGTCTTGGCCTGAAGGTCATTGTGCCCATGTTTACATTCCTTGGGGCAGGCATTAAGGTGCTTTCTGCAAATCTACATTTAAAAGAAGACTAAACAACTAACAGACTTAACAGAATTTTGATATGGGAAAGGGGTAACAGTGTTGGGAAAATGTGTAAACTACTGTGCTAAGGGGTGAGGGATAAAATGCAGCTACCTTAAAATCTACATTCACTACATAACTACTTCTAAAGTCTATAAAAATTAAAAAATCAAAAACTCTAAGGCAACACCACAAATATCCTTAAATGAACAAAAAGCATTTGACTTACCTTAAGCTTGGGAATGTTATAGAGAAAAATAGAAAATATTAGGTAAGATCTGATTATTCCTAGTAGGAAATTTTGTCAACAGCACTCGGACAGCTATATAGTAACTTAGAGAATGACTTGATAGACCATCATAATAGTGATGATTGCCTACTAGTGATAATAGTGATAATAGCCTACCATACGCTTCCAAAACTAATGTTACTGTGTAATACAAAAAGTAAAGAGACAAGTTGACTTATGTTCCATTTCAAAGGATGGGAAGGAGCTAGTAACATAAATGAAACATTTCTAATGGAGTCATTTTGCAAAAAATAAAGATTTCTTTCTCAAGAGAGATTTACATTGAATTATTTTTTTTCTCCCTAGCTACTGTGTTAATGGAAGGCTAAGTTGCACGGGCAAACCTCAAAATCCTGCAGGTATGGGTCTGATATGGTTTACTTAGGAACATATTTTTTTCCCCTATGTTGTAAAATTACTACTTCATGATCTTTTCAATGTTTGTTTTTGTTCCTTTTCCCTAGAAAGCTGCAAAGCTCCTAAGAAATACGTATCATGTTCTGACAATTTAGAAAACAAGTATGGAGCTACATGTGCCCCTACCTGTCAGATGCTGGCTACTGGAATTGAATGTGTGAGTTTCACAGATCTGATCTAACTCTCTCAAGATCCTCTTGAGAGAGTTAGAATGTTCTAGTTGTTACTTAGAACTTTACTACATTCCCTCTAATAAAATAAAAGGAAATATTTCATCTAGCATGATACAGTTAAACATCAGGCTTCTTTCCACAGACTGCGGACATGAAAAAATGTGCATATATTTAAGAAGTGATTAAAGGAATTAAATTACATGAATTAATGAATTAAATGATATTAAATTACTAGAATAAAAGTCCATTAAGGATTCTTAACTACATGGCTATCACCTCTGACTCAGGTAGTCCATAAGCTGTGTGTTATGCTTCCTTTTCTATTTTTTCTCAACTCTCTGCTGCTGCCAGTCACAGAATGCAGGAGACCTGGGCTAGGAGAACATCTGGGCTGTCCTGATATGGTTTTCTTATAATTTTATATTAAGGAAACAGACTAATTGGAAGAATTGTAATAAGCTTCCTTGATATAAAGAAACTTCTGTTGTACTCTTTCTGAAAAAAGACTGATAGTAAAGGAAGATCAGTTTTTCAGAGTCTTCAGGTATGTTTAATATCCCACACCACAAGTATAACCTACAACTTCAGTAAAAGTTGACTAGCACATTAGTACAAGGAACATCACAAAACTAAGATCAAGTCAAAACAGAATTTAGCACAGGTTCACTCTTGACACCGTTCACATCCAGGATAAAATACGTCTCACAGTTCTTTTCATTTTGCAATCTGTTGGCCTTTACCAGATACCAACTAAATGTGAATCGGGCTGTGTCTGTGCTGATGGCCTGTATGAAAATCTCAATGGCAAGTGTGTTCCAGCTGAGGAGTGTCCATGTGAATATGGTGGCCTTTCTTATGGAAGAGGTGAACAAATCCAAACGGAATGTGAGATCTGGTAAGAATCACATACTTTTTCATTGCAGAACCTCTGTCTCACTAAACTGTACAACCACATAAAAAAAAGTGTTTAGTTGACAGGAGAGTAGGAGATGGCAACAGCTGAATGGTAGAAACACCATGGCAAAGTACAGGATGTATAGAAAAAAAGAGTCATGGTACCAGCTTCAGGGATAATTTCTGCCTTATGAATATTCAGGAATAAGGGCATCCAGTAGGGCCTGTAACTGTAAACTACATAAGGTCAATGATTATTGACAACTCCACATAAATAAATATGAGGGCACAATCTTTCTTCTTTTCTGTAGATAAAAGCAAATCCCCCCTTCAAACATTGTTTCCATCTCTTTAGCAGCATTCTCAAAGAACTTTTTTCCATTTTCAGTCACTAATCTAACATTAAAAAACCACCACCACCCCCCAAACTACACAGAACAGTGACTTCTGTTCTCATGAGGAGCAAAAATAAATGGGTTTTATATACTCTTTGTTTCATGAAAAGAAAAAGGCAAAAATTATGTAAAATTTCTTCTTTTTCATGAGTTCATTTTCTAGGCAGTCCATGACTTCTAATTAGGGTTCTTTATATTAACTCTAACTTGGTCTCAGTGTACATAAATCAGTTAAATTAACATCTTATTTATAAAAGTGGATGTGTATAAAAAGAAGCAGATTAAGGTGGCATTTCTTTGAAATCTGAGTATGATTTCTCTTCTCATCCCAGCACTTGCACAAAAGGCAAATGGAAATGTGTTCAGAAATCAAGGTGTTCCTCAACTTGTAACCTTTATGGAGAAGGCCACATCACCACTTTTGATGGACAGCGTTTTGTGTTTGATGGCAACTGTGAATACATATTAGCTACGGTAACCTGCTTCTTCCTGGTGATTTTGGCAGTATCTTAGCATCAAGAAATAGCTTGATTTAAATGACTAATGAAAATATGATAGGATGCATCAATAACCAATAGAGCACTTTGGATCTTTGTAGCCGCTTAATGATTTTTTGTATAATCTGTTTATTTCAGTGCTTAAGATGAAAATATTTTACTTCTCAAAAAAACAGCTTTTTAATGCAATATTAACCAATTTTAGATTTAATAACATGTTTAAATAGTCATTGCTATATATGTATTCCATACCAGACAACGATATATTTTAGGGAAGTGATGTCAGTTTGACAACCAAAGAAGGCAGAATCAGTCAGGACTTTTTAAGCTTTCTTTATTTCCTTATGCTTTTATATTTTAAGTTGGAAGACTCTAGACACAGAATCTATTGGGGTTTTATGCTTTTTTTGATTTGTTTTGTTTTTTTTAGGATGGCTGCAGTATTAATAGACCTGTTTCCTCTTTCAAAATTGTTACTGAGAATGTCATCTGTGGGATATCAGGAGTTACATGCTCCAGATCCATCAGCATTTACCTTGGGGTAAGCCCTTCCTTGTGCTATTATCTAGCTGAATAGTTATTTTAAGACCGTGTTTTCTTTATTTTGGAAGCTTTAACTGTATCTTAGAAGAGATGTCTTCTAAGTGAAATTATGTGCTAAACCTACAGCTTCGGTTTTAGTAGGAAATGCCATAGATTGGTTTTTTTCCAGTTCTCATGTTGTGTTTCATTCTCCAAGGTTCTCACCTATGTAGAAGCCAGAAAATCTTGAATTTTACTTATCAGTGAATTGCTTGATCAAAAGATACCAACTTCCTGCCCCTCCCCACCTCTCTCTGCCAAACTCAGAAAAATAATAGTATAAAATTGAGGAATTCTCATTGTGGGTGATGAGCAAAAGCTATCAAAATTTCTTTAAGTCCAGATAATATCTGAAATTCAAAATATATCCAGATTTTTCCTGAGATGTATCTATGAAACTACACTAATGAGCAGTTATTTCTACTACCATGTGACAGCTTCTAGAACTGGATAAGTTTTACTGTTCTCAGTTTAATGGGACAGTAGTGCTGACTAAATACTGGCAGTTCCAGTTGGTCAGTGCTGTGGTGAAAAAGTTTATTTGCTTAGGATTCAGTTTCATAAATGCACACTCCAAACAAACCTTCCTTCTGATTATCTAGACGTGGAAACACTGCAGTATGACAGGAGTAAAGTTGGCAAAGTACATACAAAGGTGGGAGATGGTTAAAGGCCTCAGGACAGAGAGCTATATCCCCTGTTATTTTTTGACTGTCCTTAGAAACACATGAAAACATACTTACTCTACTCTATTTGCCATATGTAGATGATGGTATTATTTCCACCAAATGTGGAGTGCTAGCACACCTAACAATAACACCTAACAATGACAGATATTTTTGTTTCCTGTGAAGATTTGCATATGCATACAAAATAATTCCAAGGGGGTAAAAAAGCCTGTAAAGTTGATAACAGAATGTTTTGTGGTGGAAGGGACCTTTAAAGGTCATCTGGTCCAACGCCCCTGCAGTGAGCGGGGATATCTTCAACCAGATCAGGTTGTTCAAAGAAAACCCTGTCCAACCTGACATTGAATGTTTTTAGGGTTGGGGCATCTACCACCAAGCTTGTCCAGGTTCCTCTGACTGGCATCTCATCCTTCACATCAGGTGTGTGAACAGCACCACTCAGATTGATGTCATCTGCAAATTTGATCCCAGTGTCTGTGTCACTGATGAAAGTATTAAACTGTACTGGGGGACACCACTCCTTACTGAGCTCCATCTGGACTTGGGCCTATTGATCACTACCCTCTAGATGTGATCATCCAGCCAATCACCCACCAAACAGTCCACCCATTAAATCTATACCTCTCCAATTTAGAGAGGAGGCTGTTCTGGAGGATCCTGTCAAAGGCTTTACTGAAGTCCAGATAAATGACATCTGTAGCTGTTCTCTTGTCTGCTTATGTAGTCACTCTACCATAGAAGACCACTCAGTTGGTCAGGCAAGATCTGCTCTTGGTGAAGCTGTGATGATTTTCTCAAATCACCTCCCTGTCCTCTATGTGCCTTAACATAGTTTCTGGGAGGATCTGCTCCATGATCTTTCCAGACACAGTGGTGATGCTGTCAGGTTGGTTGCTCCCAGAGTCCTCCTTTCTACCCTTTTAAAAAGCGGGTGCAATGTTTCCCTTTTTTCTGACTGCCAGGACTTTTGAAAAACGAGTGGAAATGTCAAGATAGTATCACAGGTTCTGATCTTTACCAGTGTGACACAGAGTAAGGAAAATACTGAAACCTGATAAGTTATAATTTCTAGATAAATTTTCTTCCAGAATTTGACAATCATACTGAGAGATGAAACCTTCACTATTTCTGGGGAAAATCCTAGTGTACAATATCATGTGAAAAAGAACGCCCTTCACCTGATGTTTGATATCATTATCCCAGGAAAATACAACATGACCCTTATTTGGAATAAGCACATGAACTTCTTCATCAAGATTTCCAGAGGAACACAGGTATGGCAGAAAAACTTCCTCAGTAAAGTGTCCTTCAATTCAGATTGAACTGCACATTTAATCGCAGTTGCCTTGACTCCCTATGATGGCAAAAGTTCTTCAGAAAAGCTACTAGCAATTCATTTTTGTCTTTATCTCCAAAACAGCAGAGATTTTCACTAGAGCCTGATTTTTAAGTGATTTCTGTACTGCATTCAGGAAATTTTTGAGCTAAATGTTTGTATTCTATAGAACTGCATGGTTGAATTTTATCTCTAAATGATGACAGTTTACAGTTTAGAAGACACGTTCCTCCAGTGATGAACAGAACCTCCTGCACAAGAAGCTAAGACTGTCTGACAGAGTATTTATAGATGACATTCACTCCTAAAGCACAGGAAACTAAGAGTAATCAGAAGGGAAAGGTGAATAATTGTAACTTGCTGAACTGACTCTGCTGCTTTCATTTATTCTAGGAAACTATATGCGGTTTGTGTGGGAACTATAATGGCAATATGAAGGACGATTTTGAAACTCGAAGCAAGTATGTGGCATCAAATGAATTGGAATTTGTCAATTCTTGGAAAGAGAATCCTCTCTGTGGGGATGTATACTTTGTAGTGGATCCCTGTAGCAAGAACCCCTATCGTAAAGCATGGGCAGAAAAGACATGTTCTGTCATCAACAGCCAGGTTTTTTCTGCCTGTCACAATAAGGTAAGAATTTATTTGCTCCTCCTTTTACTTACAGGCATAATGTGCCTTCTTCCAAAATGCTCACACTCCAACAGGTGATTTTCTGTTTCCAAAAGTATTTCAATGAAATACATATCAAATGTTTTATACCTCACATTTATGTTGATTTTCGTCCTTTCTTATTTGCACTTCACCAGCCCTTTTGTAAGCACAAAAGCTAAGTGTGGTATTAACTGATTACTAGAACTACGAGTGTGAAAAAGACTTAAGAATCAAAAATTAGTCAGTCTGTTGGTGATACCTGATCAATGCACTTACTCTTTAAAACCATTTAGTCTTTGTTACAAAATCAAACTAAAGAAAGTCCTAAAACCTCATGTTCTCATCAGTAAGTCAACACCATTACTTTGATGGTCCATTCAAGAGCAAGGTACCATCAACCCTCCTATTTGTTTAAGTTGTCCACTTTGTGGAAAGGAAAATATCACAAGGGAACAGGCCTTCTGAAGGGAAATCCCCCATTTTTAGGTGAATCCTCCATTTTCAGGAGGTGAAAACAAGTAAAAAATGGGGATAATGCTGCAGTGTTTATGTATGTACAGAGACTGTACAGCTGATGAACTTAGATACTTGTGCCTAAATGGATGTGGGGATTTGAGGAGTTTTTTTAGCTAACTATACATAACATGTTCAGTACCAGTATAAATTTAGAAATACGTACCAGGTAAAACATCATCAGTTTCTGTTGTTGATGTGGAGACACCTGAGTCTGGCTAAAAAGATCTGTATGATGTGGGGTTGTAAATGCTTTGACAAGTGTTCAGGTGAAATACTAGTTATTCTTACTTAGTGGAACATGTACTGTATAACCCAGGAAAAATCATCTTCTTAACAAATTGGCACAAAATAATCTTAGAAAATTCATTCCTTCATTTTCCAATGCAGGTGAATCGGATGCCCTATTATGAGGCCTGTGTTCGAGACTCTTGTGGGTGTGACACTGGAGGGGACTGTGAATGCATGTGTGATGCCATTGCAGTCTATGCCATGGCATGTTTAGAGAAAGGTATCTGCATTGACTGGAGGACCCCTGAGTTCTGTCGTAAGTTCCTTTAAGTTCTCCTTAAACAAGTTAAAGAGATTATTATTGTTACTGTGGGTATATTCATATGACAAGAAAATTATTGGTATGACAAGAAAATTATTAATAAGCACCTCAAAGGTTGCATTTTCTCTGTGGGCAAATAGTTGACTTCAGTCACCTGGATTTTGAAAACTATACTTTTCATTTGTGCTAAATTAAACAAATTATTTTAACTCTTTTTACCATGGAGTAATGAGAGAGAAAATAATGTGGTCACAGAAAGCAGACTGTTTCTTCTGCTGCCATGGTGTAGTGCACTGTCAATTTGCCAGCAGAGAAAGCATGAAATTGTAAAAAAATATATTTCATTTTAGCTACGATGAAATCACCTTCTGTGTGGATGTCAAGGAAAGGAAGACAGCTGTGTTGGCTGGAACACTGTAAAACAGGAAAAGGTATCAAGGTGTTCCAGAACACTGTATATAGAGGGAAAAAAAGTATGAGCGTCTTATGAGTCAGTGCTGGAGTTGTCATCTTTGATGGTTTCTTTTCCACATTTCACTATATTGTGCATTAAAAATTGTGGAAATGCTTGCATACTGCATTTGCAAAAAGGAAACTGACTTCACTGAGTTAAAATATAAATTTACATCAGAAGCTAATAACTTCAGTGAATTTTTTTAATTTTGTTTATTAATTTTGTCCTCCCTTTAGTACTTTAAAAATACCATGCCATTAAGTAAAAAAAAAAAAATCTGATTTCTGTCTTGCTTTTACCTTTTTCAGCTGTCTATTGTGAGTACTACAATTCTCATAAAAGAACAGGAGCTGACAGTGCTTATTCCTCTGACTACAATGATGACAAATGCACCTGGCATTACAGGCCTTGTAATTGCCCAAATCAAAACTACAAATATGTCAACATTGAAGGTAATAAGCTATACTACTCTAAACCAGGGAACAGTAACATAATAATTATTTTCAAGGCTGTTTTCTAAATCAGTCATACCATAGTTAAATAATAGTAATCTAATTGATGCTATCTTTGAAGCTGTTTTGCTAATCCTTCCCTTACTACTACAGTTTTAAAACACATAATCAACTCAGGAGCTGTACTACAATTAGCTTTATATTGAGTTCAGCCTATCTGGAAGAGAAATTCTGACTTGCACCAAATAAAAGAATACACTGTATGTGGGGATGAAAACATGTGGAGAGAGCAGTTCATATTTTTATTAAACAAATGGATATGGCTGGAGAAACCAAAAGAACTCCTACATAGGCAGATGCTCTTTCTGAGGATGACACTGGAAATACTTACCTGAATAGATGATGTTGCAATTGATACTATTTTTTAATAGCAGATATGTAATATATTAGGTGCTAAATAGTATAAATTAAATGCCTTTTTCTGAGAAATGTAAAACAAACTTCCCTTTCTTCAGGTTGTTACAACTGCTCTCATGATGAATACTTTGACCATGAAGAGAACAGGTGCATGCCATGTGGTAAGCAGCATCTCTTTCTCTACAGTAATTGGAAAATAGTATAGACTCACAGAAGATATTTTTCGTAGTACCTCTCAATAAATGAGTGTTCATCTGAGCATAACTGTCTTTCACAATAATCCCATTACTGTACTGCTTGGTAAATAAAGAAATGAAAAGAACTAATTAAAAACAGGATTAGGGTAGGCAATGCTATAATACAGAAGCTTGATGAACCTGACTGATTTTAGTTAGCAACATTAGAAGTTATGTTCATGTATGTGTGAGTACTTTTCAAAAGGTGGCTCTTCCAGAAAGTGTGTCGCTGTTCTGGTTTGTGTGAGGGACAGCACCAGCAAAGCTGTGAGTCTCAGAGATATTTACCTTTTTTCATTGAAAAAGAGAACATTTAGAAGAAGATTAGACTTAGCTAATGGACTCTACTTAGCAAATCTCTTTTAGAGATTTTCTTTTTAAATTAACTTAAGATTTATTGCCATATCATTTACTTCTGTGAAAACCTATCTTATTAAATGATGTTTTAGATAGTCTCAAGCTGCACAGTTTGGATTTGAAAAACTTCAGGAGAATTTTTTTCATATTACAGAATTCTAACCTGTGTAACCAGAATCTTGGCTGCTGATCTCATTTACATACAAAGCCACATTCCATTATCCCTGAAAAGTGAAGTGTCCTTAAGCATAAAAGTCAAAAGAAAGACAGCAAAAACTACTGGTGTTCATTATTATTTTGAGATGTATTGATTTCTTTGTACTTAAGTCCTTCTGTGTGAATGTTACCACTGAAATATGTAATATTAAACACTTTCAGGAATCCTTCACTAATTAACACAATCCTTTGAATCCAATCTGAAATTTACCTTATTTATTTGGAATATTTTAATATGCTTTTATTTACAAATTTAACCTGTTGTACCTTTACACAACAGGAGAAGAAAGCACTAACACCACACTTGAAACATCTTCACCTTCACCAGGAGAAGAAAGCACACTTGAAACATCTTCACCTTCACCAGGTTAGTTTACACAGTTGACCGAACCAATATTTACATACTGATATTATGTCCTGATAAGCGTTTACAAAAGTCAGTGATACTGTTTTTTGCATTTTATAGTAGCATCACCAGTTTCACATGCATAAGATGCAATGATGAAAAATGACCTGGTACCTTAATATGCTGGGCTGCATCAAAAGCAGGGTGGCCAGCAGGCCAAGGGAAGTGATTCTGCCTCTCTGCTCTGATGAGAGCTCACCTGGAGTGCTGTGAAGTTCTCAGTTCCAGACACTGGAGGGTCAGAAAGATGATCAGAGGGCTGTAACACCTCTCCTACGAGGAAAGGCTGAGAGGCCTGGTGTTGTTCAGCCTGGGGAAGACAAGGCTCCAGGGAGACCTCATTGCAGCTTTTCAGTACTTGAACGGGGCTTCTAAGAAAGACAGGCACAGACTTTTTAGTAGGGCCCATTGTGATGGGACAAGGGGTAATGGTTTTAAACTAGAAGAGAGTAGATTAAGAGTAGATATAGGGAAGAAATTGTTTATTATGAGGGTGATAAAACATCTACAAAGAGGCTGTAGATGCCACATCCCTGGAAGCATTCAAAAGCAGGCTAGACTGGGCTTTGAGTAACCTGATCTAGTTGAAGATGTCCCTGCTCACTGCAGAGTGACTGATGATATAACACTTCAGCAATTTAAGAAGGTCTTCATGGATATGCATGACTGACTATACCAAATCCCTATAGCCTGATATAGGAAAGGAACCTATATACAGTGATCTTAAATTTCTTAGAAATTCCATTAATTTCCCTGAAGACAGATGGTATTGGAAAATATTACACTGTGGGTTGTGTGGATAATAAAATACTATTCCATTTCTGCTGATATGCACAAATATTTATACCAAATTCACTTCAAATGAAGAAAAAGGTGTAAAGCTTCTGCATGAATACCTGTTTAATGTATTCACTGCACATAATAGCAAAGGAAGCAATGGATAACTGCTCTCAAAGGCTTCATCTAAAAGTCTTCACCTGAAATGTGTTAATAGTAGTTACCGCTAATAGTTATAGAAACAGTGTTTATACTTTAAAAAATTCAATTCATATAGGTACATTATAAATAGATTATTGAGGACTATTTCTTATCCTTTAATTTTGATTTTTTTCTCTTAGTAACAACAGTGCAGCCTAAAGTAACAGGAAGCTCTGCTGCAAGCACCCTACCAACAGTACCAAGCGCTTCTGCAACTGCTAGATCAACTGAGATTACAAATCCAACAATAACTGCAAAAACTACAGTTCCAAGAACTTCACCCATACAACCTCTTGTCACAATGAAGTCAACAACTGGTAGGTTTTTAGTGTTACTGTCTAAAATAAATTACAGTAAGCTCACTCTATACATAATTGAGATATCACTTCCTAGGAAAGAATAGCAAACTCGTACAACATCCAAGCATTAGACTCCAAATCGTGAGGTGGGCAAAACAGGTTTCCAGAAAGGAGTTTGTAAGCCAGAAATGTTCAGAAGTGTAGATCAAAAGTGCGTGGAAAGATATAGATACTAGGTTACTAACATAACCAAAAGTCACTTGTTTGACTCATCTGAGAAGCACATTAGAAGTTTTATAAGCAGTGAGCCAGCTCAGATCCAGTTAGATTTATTAGCTTCAGCTTCTTTTCCACAGTTGATTCTGTTATGCAGTCATATTCAAGGAGCAACCAATCTATTAACTCTGAGTAATGTAAGCAAGCCCAAAGCAGAATCACACAGGTATTAGTGTAGCAGCTTTGTCTAGGTTTCTAGAGTCCTGCTCTCAGGAGGATAACTCTGCCAACATAAATTACTTTCTGATTCTATGGCTTGTGGAGACTCATTTAGCCTCACACCAACATGCACTTCAGCTAATTAACCATCTTGGACCCTGGCTATCAGGGAAAGCAGAGTTAAAAAGAGGTCCCAAAGGATTCAAAACACAGCTTCAAAAACTGACATTATGACAGATAATTTGGGCACTGGGACAAGGAAGTCCTATAGTATAATATTACTTAACTTTTTAATATGAATTACAGAAAGCTGAAACTGGGACTGATTTGGAACATAATAGTAGCCAGTGAAACTGTGATTTGGGCAAAGCCCATACAGACTGTAGTCAATAAGTGACAACAAAGCTAACTTCTTAGAAAAATTATATTAAAAAAAAAATCTAGTACAGGAAAAATACAGAAACTGAGAACAAAGACAGACACGAGACAATAGAAAACAAATATAAGTACAGAAATATTCGACAAGCTTTTGAGAACATGAGTGCAACAACAATGCTGAAAATAGTCAAAAGATCAAGGTGAAAAGGGGTCTCTAAAATATGGGTATTTTCTTCATAATTTATCTATTTTTAATTATTCTATGAATTGATTACTCATACTGTACTATTTACCTTTACCCCAAAAGAACATACAACATCAATTTCTACCACACCAAACATGACTACAACCATCACTACTCCTTCCATAACTACCACAACAAAGAGAACCATAACCACTATACCAAGGTCTACGCCTGCTGCCTCATCAACCACTGCTTCAACAGAGACAGAACAAGTACGGTTCACCTCACCATCCTTCAAGACCACTATCAAAAAGGAAATAACAACCTCCTCATTGCCTACTCAAACCCTATCTCAAAGCATAACTTTCAGCAAGCCTGAACTAACAACAGCAGGTAAATATCACTTTTTGGTGTCTGCCAGGTGACACCATCACTCACAAGACATATGTCAATGTATTACTTAGTCAAAAAACCCCAAGCACTCTTACTAGTGGTCTTAACATTGCAAATAGATAGGAAAGGACAGGGATAACTGAAGAAGCGTGATTAAAATGAAAATTTGTCTTACCAGTGGAGCAAGCATTTGACATCCAGATATGATCTTAAACCTAACATTTCTCATCCAACATTTCCTCCAAATTTAGACAAAATCTCTCATGTCTCAAGGCAAGTTCTTGAAAACCCACAGACCACAGAATATATATTCTCCATAGCCAATGTAACAAGTACTCCCAACAATAAATATTAAATAAAAGGATTTTTCTTTTGTCTGACACTCAATATACCAACAAGGACAGTCTCCTCTGAGACTATATGGCAACATGAATTACTGGGTTAGCAACTGACACCAGAGGCTGGGACAGTGTCTGGTGGGAATTCTGCTGTAGTGGGAGGGCAGGTGTACACTCTCTCCCAGTCCATGTGTCTCCCACAAAGTACTGTTGGGGTGCATACATCTGGGGCTCCTTGTGCCAGCAATTACAGCTTCGTCTAGGAACCTTTCCAGCCATTACTAATATTCATTCTTACTTACTTACCTTACAGGCAGTGAGGAAATCCAAACAACCACTCTGCCCCAACCAGAAGGTAAGAGGGAGTAGACAGATGCCCTTAGCCTAAGGCTCTGCTTCACTTTCCCCAGCTTTTCCAGGTGATATTCTTGTCCAATCTGGAATGCCTGGGAGAGAAAACATGCATATCCAGAGAGGCTCTTTTCTGAGGAGCTTCAGAAAAAGGCAGGGGGTGCTGAATTGTCAGAGGGCACACTTCAGGCCCAGTTTTGCCCCATATTTTTTGAGGGGAGATCAATTGCCCAGTAAGACTCAGTGGGGTCTAGTTCTGTCTTTCTTACTCCTACCTCATATCGTGGGGGTTCTGCCTGGGAATTGTCTACCTCCTTTGCCTTCCCTTCTTGCCCTGCCACCTCCAATCAACTTGTGCTTTTCTCTCTGTAGTTGTCACCCACATAAGAACGATGACACAGCCTGTGCAGCATCTTGTCTCTCAGACACAGACCTTCCCTGCCACATCCACCAGCAGCACCTCTGTCCCAAGAGAGACCAGTCCTGCCACCAGCCCAGGAGTTCCACTGGCAAGGACATCTCCAAGCCTGAGCTCTTTGCCTGCGACCTCAGCCTCATCTGCTTCTTCCCTTTCCTCAACTGTGTCCTCGACATGGCTGGGAACATCACATCCTGGTAAGGCTCCCTCCTGCCCTTCCTGCTGCTCTGTCTGCTTCTTCCAGCTCCCACCATTCTCTCCTAGGCAGCATGTCCCACACAGGCCTCGGTTTTGGTATTGTACCCAATTCCCACTGTTAATCCCATGTGATACCAGCAGGTCATAGGACTGACCCACAC